GTAGGTAAATTTTTATTAATTTATGGATTTTAAAAGGCATTTTATGGTGGATAGGGGAGCAAGTGGCAAATGTGCAAGTTATGGAAAAAGGTAGTAAGTTACTAAATGCTTAAAGGTTTTTTTTGAGGAAGAGGCTCAGGGTTTGGGTTTTTGTAGAAGAGGGAGATTACTTCCCCAAAAGTAGGTCTTAGCAGGGATGTTTTAAGTCACCCTGGTTGTTACAATTTGTAAAAAAAGTGCTAGGGGTTGGGGAGAGGAGGGGGGATTAAATTATGAGGAATGAAAAGCAAAAATGGAGTTGACACAGTTCTTTTTGTTGATGAACTGTGTTGGGGAGATTCTAAAGAAAAGTTGCAAAGGTTGTGGATGAAATTTTTGGGAGGGTTTGGTAAAAGGTGAAAAATTTGGAAAATGAACAAAGTAAGGTAAAGGGTGAGGGTATCAAAGTTTAAAAAAAGAAAAAAAAGGATTTATATTGGGGGGGAGGGAGTTTGGGAAAAAGTGAATGTGTTATATATTTGGGAGTTGACTTCTCAGCATTGGGTTTTTGAAGGAGAGGGTTTAAAAATAGAAATTTAGAGGAAAAAAAGGTTTAGTGGTGCTTTAGGTATTGTGGAGTAAACAAAACATTTTTCCCGGAAGCAAAGAAGGGAAAGTACGAGAGTTAGTGGTACCAAAAACTTTTATATGGGTTTGAGCTTGGGTTGTAAATGCTGCAGCAAGGAGGAGGCTGGAGGCAGTGGAGATGTATGTCTATGGGCAATTGTGGTGTAAATATTATGCAGGGAATTCGTTTTTTTGGAAAATTTGGGGAGGTGTGAATTTATAAAAGAAATTTTGTCAGAGGGCTGAAGAGGTGTTGTTGAGGGGGTTTGGTTATTTTGAGAGATCGAAAAAAAAGTAGAAGCTTGTAGAGTGTATAAATCTGTAGAAGGGGAGGGGTAACCTGGAAAAGGGTTTTGGAGATCAACGCCCCCCCCGGTCGGTCTGAGACCAGGCTTCGTGGTGGATCATGGTTGATCAACAGGCTGTTTACTCTGGTGCACGCAAACTGACATACGAACCACAGCCCCGGTGGTCAAGTATGACTGTAGGGCCTTCAAGTGCCTTCTTAGACAGCCCGGGGTTAAAGGTAATCCCCTTTGTGTGTTGGGAGGCGTTTAACAGTCTTGGGCTCGGACACTTATTGTGTTTTTCAGTGTACGTGGGGCCCTGCTTTTCATTGGGAGAATTTGCATTCCCGCCGGTCTTTTGCTTTCATAGGGGGGTGTTTTTTGTGTGAGGGGTTTTGGTACTAATCCCTCTAGGATATTCAAGTTATATTTTTTGTATCTCTCTGCCTGTGTTCCAGGGGGAAAAACAAAACAAGGGGGCTTCAATGTTTCCAGTAAATTTTTGGTGGGCCTTATCGTACTTTGTGTGCCGTTTAAAGTTCTTTGTACATCTCCAGGTCGCAGTTTTTTCCCGCCTTTAAGGGGGGCAGGTTGGGTGCAGCAGTATTCCACCATTTAGAACAAGGGTTTCAAAGATTTTCATGGGTTGCATCCCTGTTTTTAAGGTTCTAATTATCCATCCATATTTTCCTTGCGATGCGGTTGTAATTGTTTTGGTGTTTGAAGGTGAGTCCTCTGACATTTTCCTCCCCGGTCTTTCATATTACTTTTTCGCTTATTTTATGGTTAGAATTTTTGTTACCCGATACAGTTTTAATTTTCCCCAAGTTTTCCATATCTGGAGTTGAATTTTTTTTCATTGAACTTCATATTGTTTTGAGTGGCCTTTTGAAGATTTTGGGTTTATGTCTGCTTGGGTCTTGTGGGTCATGGCAATTTGGGGTTATCCGCAAAGGATGAGAGCAAGTCTGTGCCCGGTGGAACAGAGTTTTATTGTAGCTGCCTCGGACTTTATCTGTTTACTATTACTTTCTGTGTTTATTTGGGAAGTTAAAACCCTCTACCCAAATTTTCCTCTTTTTCCTTTTTTCAAGCATTTTTTGCATTATTAACTATGGTAACCTGTCCCCGGCTTTTGCAAAATCTGTGATAAAAACATCTGCATTTTTTTATCCTCTATAGCATCCGACTTTGTCTGTGGGCCAGTAGGGGGAAGGCAGGAGCGCTGCCCCTAAACCCTGTTGCCCTGGGGGTTTTATTAAAATTTAGGGCTCTAGGTGGTTGGCGATCTTTTTCTTGAACCTTTTCAAAGATTTTTATGATATGGGATGTTAGTGCTAGAGGTCTGTAGTTCTTTGCAATTGCTCTACTGCCACCTTTGTAGAGTGGGGTAGGGGTCGTCCTCGAGAAAGTTGGAGGGAGGGGTTTGTGGGTAAGGGGCTTGGACTTCCAGCAAGCGTGCATGACTATGTTGGATAGGAGTGAATGGAGACGAATGTTTTTTGGGCCCTGACGAGCTGTTGGAGTGTGAGCCGGGTAATATTTTGTGAAGGGATTCAAGGAAACCAGGTAGCCGGAAAATGGGAAGTACAATGCCTGTGCTTCAAAAGAGGGGTTAGGGATATTGGCAGTTTGGAAGGACATCTAAACTTTCGTATCTGAGCGCCTCTGCAAAGACAGTGATTATGTATGAGTGATGGCGAAAGTGTTGAATGATGAAATTTTTTTTCTTTCTTTTTGGGTTTTTCTTTCATTTGGGTCACTCTGCCTAGGTGGGAAACAGCCGTGTTAAAAAAAATATGCAAAGTACATGATTTTCCTGTTATAGATCTAACTGACATCACTGACATACTATATAGAAAGCCCCTGGTTATGTAAAGCATTTCTGACAGCCAAAGTAATCTTGTCCCCCAGGATGCCACCCACAACAGTCAGCTAACAGCCAGGTACCTACTTCCTGCTAAGTGAAGAGGAGCAATAAAAATAAGGAAACATGCCCAACAGTTTATCCGTTCGGGGGAGTGATTCCAGACCTTCAGTGAAAAGATTTATATAATTATGATCATGGGGGGGGAGGAGCGCTAAACTCCTAGGATTATACAGCGCATGTGGGGGGATGGAAAGTATTCAGGCTCAATTCAGGGAACCGGAGCGCAGATCCAATTCCCTAGATCAAGAGCTCCTCACCAGCGTCAAAGAACCTCCCTTGAAGGATAAGCAGAGATTATCTTATTAAGCGGGTTCGAGGTATTGACGCACATTATATACTGAGTCAAAAAAGGAGAATTAGTGTGCACTACCTAGCAGAGTTTACTGCCAGAGGGGAATCATAGGCCTGTGTTCCGTGTGCAAAATAATAATAATAGAACTTTTCTTTGTTAGACGAAAGAAAGTCTCCCTGATAACATTGTGTATACATAGTGTATAGTGTATACTACAGTGGCTCCCTAGTATATAGATGATAAAGGCTAAAGTGTCATTTGAAAACAGGTGAATTTGTAAATGAAGTGATAAGCCTATAGAGGCAGGTGCCAGAAGTCGCCAGAAATCTTACCACAGTGGTCAGCTGTTTTAATAATCTTCCTGGCCTGCTTAATGTACTCGCATATAATATTAGTGATACCAGTGAATAGCAGAATACAGTGTTGTAGTTGGGAACTAACCAGTATTATAATGGTACTTGTGGAGTGGAGTGACTTTCATTAGTTTCTTTTTTCTTGAAATACCGGGGTATACTGTGAATTTCATATAACCTGTAGTTACCAGTTGGTCGCAATTACACAATGAGGGAAGCAATTATTATACAGAAAAAGCGTCCTTCCTCCAAAATTTCCCAGTAACTATAGTGTTAATATAGCATTTATTGTGGTGGGGGACGAAAAAAACTAGAAAAGCTAGATACAGTGATTGATAAACAAGGGTTGAGGCTCGACCGTTCGTCATTGTAGGAGCTGCCGCATCACGGGTTTTTCAACACGCAAGTTATATTTTGT